CTTTCTTCCAACCTACTCATACAACATAAAACATCGCACGTCGGGGCAGTCGGTGGTTGGGCACACGTAACACATGTCCCAGCCATCTCAACTGATGAAGTTTCACTACTTCATCAATCAGTTTGTCATTCTTGCCTAGTACCTGTATCCTAACAACTGCATTACTTACCCGGTGGTCCCAGGATATACGAGCAATGCTTCGAAGACACCTATGATAGAATACTAGTAGCCTACGAATATCCTTTACTCTTACCGATCATGTTTCACAGCCGTAAAGTAGGACAGAACGAGCTGTTGCGCAGTAAACCCGTCCTTTGGTTGCTAGACGGATACCTCACCTACGCCATAAATGACGCAAGTTGGCGAAAGCTAGACAAGCCTTCTGTATCCGTGCTGAGATTTCGTCACACACCAGACCACAAGGGCTGATGAGACTTCCAAGATAAGTGAAGCGGTTAACACGCTCTACTACTTCACTCCCTATCATTAGTTCAGGTGCTGATTCAACCCAATCCTGAAGTAACATTTTGCACCTCGAGGGGGGGGAATCGCACTTCGAACATGTCTGCATTGTTGCTTATGGTGGTCAGAAGACTCTGCATGTTGTCAGCGTCTTCACCGAGTAAAACTATGTCGTCGGCGTATTCTAAGTCAACAAGTGAGCCTCCCGGTAAAAGTTCAACTCCAGGAGATTGAGATGATGATCTACAAAATTTGATAAGCGTTTGAAACAAGACGACATGATATGAGTTAATACTAGTATTTTATTACCATGAAGTTGAGATCAACTGTCACTTTACTTAGGATAAAGGTTTTATGCTTTTCTACTCGTGAACAAACCTTACCTATAAGTTTTAATCTAATGGTGTGTAATGTGTGATTTAATTTCAAGTACTTTCATTCACAAAACATATTTACTCTTGATTACTTAAAATAGTCCTGAGAAAGCGTGGAATGTGTACGTTTTATACCATAAAATATAATGTGTATTCAAAATATTATTTCACAAGTGAAAACTGATATAATTTATATTGAATTTGTTTCACATTTTCAAACTCAATGATCTCTTTGAATTCATGAAGAACATCAATCATACAAAGATAACATTTAGTAAACAATATCATCCGGTTAACTTCACACAGCGAATAAAGAATGAATGCTCTAGAAGTGGTACCGTATACCAAAATGACTAAATTGTTCATGGTTATTTTGCAAGACAATATCTACAAAATTTGGTGGTGATCTCTCATTTTAACTGTCATTGATTAACAGTTATTTAATTTTGTCAGCAGATAAAACAATAGAAAATAAAACACATACTAGACTTTATGACATTAAAAGTATTCACTATCATAAATGAACCCCACTTTCTTCCATACGAAAATACATCAGACCACTTGTAATGATAGTTAGAATGAATCCAAACACTAGAATTGTTTCTTGATTGTATGAAATAAATCATAAAAATTTCTGAGTCATAAATAATATCTCGATTACCATTTCTGTGTCTGGTGAGTAACAGGTATTTCATCAGTGAATATCAAATAGTTTTCAGTGGATTAATATTAAACGAACTATAGTTTAGTTCAAAATATTTGTTCATACATCGCCTCAGATATTTTAAGCTTCACATTTTAACTTTGGTGTATAAGACATTTATTATTAGGTCCATGTTTGCAAGATACTAACCTTCAAAAATTTGCTATTTCAGCTAATAAACTAGGAGAGATCCGTAAGTTGCTTACCTTCTTAGTCTGAAAGCAACTTTAGAAACATTTGAATATTTTTGTATTATTCGAAAATGATTTTCAATTTGTTTCCATTACAAAGTGAAATGGATACATATTAGTACATGTGTGTTTACATATGTCGTACGTTGTTATGTAACTATAAATTTGAGCCACTCTCAAACTAGTGATCTTTACTAATGCTCAATTTTGAAACAATTCGTTTGTCTAACGATAAGTGAGGGTCTGAAATAAACAGATTATTCATGCATTTCATAATTCAGAATCTGAATTGTTGTTATACGAAAGAGTTATTTATAGAATTTTCCAAAATTATACGATGAATAAAAGTAGATCACTTGATTAGAATATGCTTCCAGCTCTTAAACGCATATTTGAATCTTGATGAAAAGTATACACTTTTTGAGATGATTAATTTGATTCCGTTGTGTTATTCCATTTGATTGAGATGGAACCTACTTACTCAATTATCCAAATCTGTATCTTTATCAAGATCTAGAGAATAATTATTCTATTTTTAATTTATTACGGACTCTGCATAAAACAAATCACATATAAAACGCTTTCTTTCCTTTAAGTAAAAAACCTAAATGTAAGTTTTATCAAAGTTGACTTATGTTTCATTTAAAAATGGACGAGTATATCTCAATTGGGCGAGATAAAGCTGAAGTCTGTATTGTTGCAAGAATATCCTTTTTGTGTTAATAAGAACCATCATGAATACTAAAAATGTATAAATTATTCGGAAAACTTTACGTCATTTCCGAAGAATTTCCTATGATTTGTGATAGATCACAGAGATTTCATCAGCGATCAATGGTCAAGTTATTCATTTTCTATTGCTGTATATTTCGATATCGGAAGTATTTTAGGTCACACTTGATAATGTATAATTTAAAACTGTTGACTAATTTAACATCACTATGGTGTTAAATCTTTCTAACTTGTGTTCTTGCACTATTTGATAAATGAAATAGTGACTGCTATTGATCACATGCTTCTTTGCTCAGATATTCAATGTCAATTCAGCGTCAACGACGAACCCAAATATAAATTATTTAACCGGAACTTACAACGGATACCTCAATTGATAATGTATTACTCTTTAGAAAACTAGCTTTCATTAAGATTTATTGAAAAAGGAAGCATCGACATAAGACATGCGTTGGTGTCGTTCAATATTACTTTTGAATACATCACTTATTTCGATGTAAATCTGTAAACTTAATTCACTAAATATTCACTACTTGTTCATACACTATTTATTCATAGTTTGTTAATGAATATCTGTGTTATTTGTTGTTGTCCTTTAGTGAAACGATGTAGAGTCCTTGAAGAGAATTTGATCAACATGCAGTACGATTATTAACATAAGCGAAATTGCCTGATTTCTAAAGTGATCTTTAAGTTTTATAAAGTTAACAAATAATGGTTTTCATAATTTTATTAATAAACTTAATTTAATAGGTAAAATGCCACTGTTTTATTTCTGAACTATAAAAGTTAATCACACGAGACAATCAAATATTGAAAGGTGTTTCGAAATTCAATTCACCTACGATGTCGAAGCAGTCAGCATGATAACTGCTGTGTGAGGTAATAGGTTCAGTCCAAATGAAGAGAAGAAATAATCATTTTTAAATTTAAAGTAGCTATACTCAGGATTTATTGAAATTTTTTAGACCGATTACATTATTAGTTTAGTCAGATATTGTGGAGAATAGACTTCTGTCGTATTCAGCATCCCATTTAAATAAGTAGTGGTTTCTAAAAGTTAGAAATGAATAACTCTTATAAAACTACATTGGTACAGAATAGAAACTTGTGTATTAATTAACACTAATATCAAAATTATAGTGAACAAAATGTCAGAGTTGAATACACTGATGATGAACATCTGTGCTCAGTACTGATTTGTATTGAGAGACAGATGATGTTACTAAATCATGAAGCTTCCGTATGACATGTTCTATTATCTCATTGGAAATATACATGTTACCTACAAATATTCTAATATCATCAATCTAAGTAGAGTGATACGGTTAACGTAAACTCAGTGATCTTATCGTCCTCCTTCGTCTGACTAAAATTTCATCGCATAACACTAAAGAAATATATAACGCGTCTGCTCTCGTAATCGATTGTCACTGAGACAAATATTGATGATAGAATAAGGGTGAACGATAAGATCTAAATATTTATATTTGATAATAATAAGTTTCCACTGGACACTTCACTGTCATCCATCTTTTGTATTCAGATTCTTCTTAATTATCCACATACATGTTGTTGATCATACATCCTACACCCTTCGATGAACTCATATCCATTGTTTAGTTATCCTTACTTAGTTCTAAATCTAGTAGATGAGCAGAACGTTTCCGTTATTGGGATAATTACCGGCCTGGTAATTTTTATAATTGTTCCAATTTCTGTAGTTTTATTACTTAAACAGCTTGCAATAATATATACAACAGTGATCAGACTTTGGTTACTTGAAAAGTAGTTCATTACATTATCCGTTCTCTTCTGTCTACATCTGTTTTGGGTGTCCAATTCAAGTGTCAATCCGAGTTGGATTTATAATAAAAGCTGTTTTGTTGAGGCTTTACTAAATTGACTACAATCATTAAATATCAAAAATTAATCAGCGCCCATATTATTGATGATTTATTTTCGAAATAAATATTTTGGACCTTTGCGAGTTTGTTTTTAAGTGTTATAGACATTGACTTAAACAGCCTTCTAATAGTGATTTCTTTCATAAATCCCTACGTAGAGTTCTTGAGATTAATCTCATGCTTGGAAGCTCATGTACATTATATGATTTAGATACAAACTCCCAAATTCGCTAATAAAATAATTCTCTGAAACGGATCCATGCATCATGTTTCTAGTTTTTTATATCAAAAGTTGCATCCTAATTATCCTTAAAGGCTAAATTTGTTAATTAAGTTGACTTACGATAATTTTCCAAAAGGTAGAATTAGGTCCCAAGTGGAACTACTACTGTTATCACCTTTGAAGTTAAAAAATTTGCTGAACAAACGCGTTTGTACCAAAAGAGATGAAAAGTTCCCATGGGTTGCAGAGAGTTATATTTTAGCAGTTACTTGGTCAATAAAAAAATATCCATCTGAACAAATCTCAGTTAACAGTTAGGATGAAAAGTTGATAGAAGCTTGAGTTTTCTTTAAACCTTACATAATGTGATAAATGATAAATGTTCCATTTATAATCATTATGCAAAAGTTTTGGCTTCAGTGTGAGGATTCTACATAAGATGAAGATCAAAAGAAGAAAATAATTTGTTTAATTGATTGTCTCAAGATAATATAAGATGAATAACAACGGTTTAACTTGTATTTATCATGAGATTTTGAATGTATGACATGGTAAGTGATGATATGTCATGAGTTAGCATTCCGTAAATTTAAATGAATTGTATCACAGAAATATGCATCACCTGAAATTACACTAAAATCTGCAGATTGGAATGTAAGAATGTTCTTCAAGAGTATAAACAACATCCACACAATCTCGGAGATTCAGTCAATTATACACTTCAGTCTGTGATATTTTGTTTAATCTCTATCTCAATCTATGTTTCGGATAATGTTAATATGAACACATATATAGTCTCACTGTTAATGTTCTTCCAAAGTTATTTCATAGATTGTCAAATTGAAGATTATTTGTCGAATGATCTGATAATTTAATGAGTGTGATATCAATATGTGGATGGGAATTTAAGTTCACTTTATGTATGTATATAAGGCTACAACGTATTCGCTGCACAAACTTTATTTTAAAGATTCAGATAAAAATGGGTGAAGCTTACTACTAGTTCGATATTCTAAAAAAAATGGGAAAGATACAGTTTATACAGTTTACAGTATTATTAATAACTGAAATTTTGTTGATTATAACCATTTTTATGTTACTAGCCCATTGCACTCATTGTAACAGAATGAAAAACCAGTCAGTAAAATAGGTCATTCACATTTTTACACATTACGGGCGGTTTATCAATAAATATGCATATTAACTGTTGAATTTGAGATCTTTTGAGCATTCTAGTTGTTTGCTGAGATATTTGATTAAATTAGGTTCAGGCGTATCATCTCCAAAAACATAAATCGAGCAAAGAGAACTTACGTTGAAATTTGTTACCTTGGTAAAATTTTGATGAAGTATGAATGGTCAATATAAAGTGTACATGAGAAAAATGGTTTAATTTTGGTAAAGTCAGATAATCATTTTTATTTTGCCAGGAATGTATCTAATAAATTATGTAAACTATTTCTTATTTTTCATCTCAATAAAAACAGTTAATTATTGTGTAGTTTATATTTTAAATAGTTTTTTTCTGATTGACTTTGTTCAACAAAATTATTTTCTATGGCTTCATGGTACTAACTCTATGCCCAACCCTCCTCTTTCATCTGAGCTTGGGACTAACAGTAACCCTGCAAGAGCTACAGCAAAGAACCCAGCAGTGATGTATTGTGAACAAGAGAGAAAATAAACAAAGTCGATCACCGAGGTTCATGATCAGTGAAAAAGATGGGAAGAGCCCTTTAAATAATTCTTAAATAGACAAGACCTTTTGAATTCATCAAACGTAAAAGCAGCACATACAGACCTTTCCACGGATGTCACCTCTTCAAAGATCGAAGAAATTAGCATGGCCATTAGAAAACATACTACACATTCGATTCAGGATAATGTTAGGGGAAAACTAGTGCTGATACACTGGAAAAAATGCTTCATCAACAATATCTTGAAATACAACACAAGGAGCTACAACCCATTCACACTCGACAGTTAAGCTCTGCAAGCGATAGAAAGTTCGATTTACCTGGTCATCATCAATAATAAACAAGGAGGATATGATGCAGATGCGAATACAAGGATTAAGAAAGCAAGAAATGTATTCTCATAATTGGAGAACGTATTGAACTAAAACAACTGTCAACCAATAACAAAGTCAAAATCTTCAATACGAACATCAAGATTGTTATATTCTACGGAGCTGAAACTTGAAGAATTACTTTAACCATCATCAAAAACGAACAACATTTATAAACAGTTGTCTACGCACTCCATCTCCATTGGTCAGATACCACCATCAAAAATCTACTATGATGAACGGACTGTAAATTTTGATTGACAAACGAACCCATCAATGACAACAGGAAATATCCACCAACACACTAACTCTCTTTGGTTGACTCATTTTTCTTATCCTCCAGTCACCGTTTGGCATGTTATTTATGTTTTTATTTTGCCCCGTTTAATAAACTGTACTAATTCTGTTTTTTGTATACTTACGGTGTTACTTTACGATCTAGAAACAGGCAAAGCTTATCAAGCCAAATAGCTTACTTATTCTGACTTTGCTTAGACTAAGACTGTTCTAGACAATGTAGGGAACAGTTTAGAACTGCATCTATAGAATATTACTTCCTACACAGACAAGCTTCCACCTGAAGCATTTGAGAAAAGACGCTGGAAGTGGATAAGACATATACTGCGGAAGTATATATATATATATATATATATATATATATATATATATATACATATATATATATACATATATATATATGCATATATATATATATATATATATATATATATATATTCCCTAACTGGGAATCCATAAGGGGAAAGGAAATCAAGACCAAGGAACAAATTGTGTTGTGAGTCGGATGGAGACCTCGAAAGAGTGAGTGACGATTGTGAAGAAGTGGAAAGGAGAGCCCAGGACAGAGCTAGACCAGGAATCCTACTGTTAGGTCTATGTCCCTATACTAAAGGTATCAGGAGTATGTAGGTAAGTTAGTGTGCACTATTTAAGGAATACTAATGGGAAGTTATTTTTCTTTTGAAATTCCTAAAGGTAAAAGAAATGATTGATGGTCGTGCAATCGAAACAGTTTTCTAAACTACAACAGACAAGAATGTTATAAATGTATATCTAGCTCTTAATAATACAATAAAATGTGAATTTTATTAGGATAAGTATAGGTAGAATAATCTTACAGGTTGAATTCATTGTGCTTACTATAATAGAAAAAGTCAAAGGAAATAGAAAAATAAAAATAAACAGAACTCGTTCCTAATGATGAATAACCATGACTAAATTATTCTTAAGAATAATAGCACATAGTATTACTAACTTACACAAAACATAAACGTCAACGTTTACAGGCTTTCCAACTATGTGACAACTAAAACCAACTCGTTGATTCTATGATGTTGAAAAAATTAGTGAACCGATTAATTGAAGATCGATCACAGACAGTAAAACCTAACTCATGAGCGAACCGACTTACGGTTTGAATGAGTAATATTCATTATGTACAAAGGACTTCTAAATAAAATTACTGATAACGTGCGTGATAAAAAGTGAATTAAAAATTTATTTGAATTCCTTAAAGATTTGTTATCGACATTGTTTTTGAACAAATGGTGTTTTTGAGGGTCAGACTGTTTCATTTGGTTCTCTTCTAGATAGTTGTCGTGTGTTGACTGTACACTGTTACTAATTAATATTTACTTCTTGAAGCGTTTGTAAATATGTACATGTACTTTCCATCACAGAAACAACAATTCATTTTACTTCATTGTTTAATTACTTAAGTTATCGAACTTTTTTCTTAACCAGATGTATTGGATAGATTTACAAATATTTTAAAATATAATCATACCAATAATACGAAGTTTCTGATCTGTGTACAAAGTATATTAACATAAAATGTGATGCTTTTAAACTTGTTCACATTAAACAACAGTGAAAGCATAAACACATGGTAAATGGTTTATGTTATACACTAATTATGATATCCTCCCATATTTTTTGATTCAAATACTGCTTCTCAAATTTATTTACTAACTTTCTAAGAGTCCTTTTTTACAAGTGTTTTACGCATGGTGATTAGCGTTTTTCCAACCATACCAAGAGGACATATATAACGTATTCAATTATTGAAAGTTCTTAACAGGGTTTTTATTACGGTAGTTGTAAAAAGCTAGGCAAAAGAGTGCATTGTCTTGTCTAGATACTTTCTCTGTTAAGTTCCTACTTATTTTTTCGTTAATTCTAGTCTAAAATTCGGTGGTGAAATATATATTTTACAGTCTTCAAGAGTGGGAAAACTATGAGTAACGATGGCACATTGTTCATTCCTAAGTGATAGCGATTTTGATCTCGTAAAGAAATAATAAGAAGTCCCTAACACTATGCGTTACAAGATATTTGTGGAGTGATCTTAATATTGTTACTGGTTGCTTTGCTTTATTATGGTATAATGACTAATTCATATTTGAATCGGTCTCAATGAGATATGCAGTATGTGTACCATCGGTATTCCATGCAATTTCGGCAGATGAGATTACGCTGGCTCAAACATTTCGTATAAACGTGAGAAATGTAGTTTTTCGGTCATTGATCTTTCAAAATCTGTTGAATTAATTATCTAAGATATTATTTAAAACATTCTTGTCAGTTAGTTCTAATGGTTAGTTGTAATATGGTACTCATTTTGATAATACAATGTCCTTTACAAAAAAGACAACACTATGTTTGGCTGTTAGTTTTACAATTATTAGCGTTTCCTAATTCAGGAGTATTCTAATAACTTCCCTGTGTTTCTTTGTACGAACGCTTATGTAGTTACAATTATTGTTCGTAAACTGGTAACAAGACTCTACAAGATTTAATTTTCTGTGTTTTGTTTTTTGATCAGAATGTGTAACTTGACCCTGTACCAGACTACATTAACGTAAACAGAATGATTACGAATATCAAAGAATTTTACTTCGAAGGACAAAATCTTTCGTCTTTCCCTGACGAATTATTGAAACGAGTTTTCAGATCTGCAGGAAACTTGGTTTTAAACGTTTGGTTTTCCAGACCTTTAGGCCACTAAATGAGTTATTTCCTTGCTTTCTGTTCTGTTAACTTCTTAGATCATTCAGCCGGTCTTTTTTATCACATTTTTCAGATGGACATTTATCTCTATCTCTTTAATATGAGAATGCCATGCGTCAGTTTCTTTCAAAACACAGAGTTTCCATGTCTTCCTATTCGGGTTATGCATTGTTCTGTTGTGACGATGTACAGTATGATTTATATAGTGAATTGATTTGATACAGATGTTTATAATTTATGAGGTATTTTTCGTCTTCGTGGACATATATCACTCAATCTTTGGATGAGGCTGTATATGTTTAATTTTGTAAAGTCCTTCAGTTATTTCATTTAACAGACAGTATCAGTAACGGTAACACTTTTTCATTGAGTGCCTTGGACGCAATGAGTTGTCCACAAAATTTGAGTTGTTTAAAAATCCTTAAACCATGAAAACAATAATACATGAATAAAATAACTATTTCCGAAACTAATCAGTTTCGACTGAGGATATTACTTGACATTAAATACATTGATAAACGACAAAGAATACTTACTGTCAAAGTGTCCTTCATCTATTTATTAGGAAATAGATTAACAAGTAAGAAGTCTTCCAAATACTTCAGAATAATTGAATTATTGCCGGTATAATTGTTCCACTGGATATATAAATGAGACAGACATTTTGAGAAAAAATTTTGGCCTAGTGGCCAAAAGCCTTATGTTACATAGATACGTTCGAAAAGACAATCTGAATGCGTTTCAAAGTAAACAGTCATGATATTTATCTTGGTATACTGTATCTCTAAAGACAATTTAACGTTGATTAAGGGATATCGCAAAGTATTTAGATCTAGTGAATTCAACAGCTATTTGCTTTTGTACCATTTTATGAATATATATTTAAAAAAATGTATGAAAGAATTAAACCATCTCAATCTCAATTATTTTTAGTAAAAACTGCAAGTAAAGTTATACAGCACTCTTCATACAAAAGAAATTTGAATTTACAATTGAGTTTATCTCTAGTTCATTCGATCGTCGTAGATTTGAAATGAATCTAACTTGTAATGTACTAAATAGTCTCAGTAAGCGACTCCTCTTCTTCATGATGTTACAAGGAAAAGCCAATCTGTGATATGAAAGAGTATTACCATTTTTGTTAAGCAATGGAAACAAAGAGTTTTCAAACTATGTAAATTCAGCTTACATCCAGAATACAATGAATCTAAATAAAAGAAATAGTTGAACATAAATGAAAATAAGTGCCTATTACATGAGTAAAGTATATTTATGTAAATAAAAAAATATAAAAGTAAAGCATATTGTTGTGTCTCGATCTTAGAATTCTTAGTCTATACTTGAGCAGTCGAACGCTGGAACCCTCCAAGTCACAAATCAAAAGACAGAAGACAAGTAGACGGAATGTTATTCCTGACAGTGTTGAATATAGTACAACATTATCAGGTATTTATAGTTTTTAGTAGAAACGAAATCATCATTATAGTTATCCAATCCGCAGACAGGAAGTTATCAGCATTGTCCAATAGGAGAGCTCCACATGGCAATTCTGGAATATTCTTCCAAAAGCTGATTGGATGGAACATGTTGGGCTCCTTCTGGGCTTCCTAGAGTCTCCTCGACTTTACCTGTGGACCATCCTCACACATATGTTATATCATTTTTGTTCTGACACTTTCAGTTTATATTTTTCTACTAGGCTGATGTTTCTTTTTACTACATAAATAAACTTTAATCAAACCATTGATTTTAAGTGTGCCATATATGTAATAATAATTTGTCATTTATTATTTGTTTCAAATTCTTTTTACTTGAGACTTTACTTATAAAAAAGTGTCTATTCTGTTATCCTTTGCATTAATGTTGAACTAATCAGTAGATATATAGATATATTAATGCTATTACTGAATCTACTCGAAATACGCTTCCAGATACTCATGTTTAATATAGTTTTTCAATCTGTATTTCAAATTTCTGATCTTCTACAGATGCAACAATTCATCCTGAATGTATTACTTCGAAGAACTATGATCTTGAAGATGACTCATTTAAACGCTTCTTCTTTAAAATATATTTTTCTTTAGTCCGAGACAATAGAATTAGTATTCGATGACAACAATCAACAATATAATTTACTTCATTGAGATCGATGAAACGAAATAATGTTGTCAGATTGTACTGTCTTGTAGGTTGTGCTTTTTCGTAGAATTACATCACCATTGAAGAACAAACAAATGGTAAAGTTATATATCGATTTTTAGCCAGATAGGTGTGAACTTATCAATTAACGCTAGCAAATAGACATTTGTAAATCGTTCATGAACGCTCGTTACTCCCAAAATCATCTCAAGCCTTAAAATCGAAATACATATCAACTTATGAACTTGTGATCTAATGACTCAGTGATGTGCTGAAAGAAATACCTGCCGATTGGGCATTAAAACAAGGGAAAATTTTGTTCACGAGTTATCATTGATTTTCTTGTAATGTGAAACCTATTGGTTCTGAAAAATCAACTGGGTGAAGATCATCTAATCTCTTGTTCATTAGAAAAAAATAATATGCTGTCATTTAAAATGAGAAAAAAAGGTTTAGCCAAAAAGCTGCAATTCTCCCAGACTTGTTATATTAAAATCTGAAAACATTTTACCGCTAGACAAAATCTCCTGATTATTCCTTTGTTCAACGGAACATGCAATTCTGCCTACAAAATGTGGTTGGGTTGGATTGGTAAAGAACTATCCATCCCTTCAAAATTTATTTATTGCGCTAGATGTGATCAGCATGCATTAATACACTCTATTAGTAAGTTCAGGACTAATGTATTATATAAGCAAATTATAAGTGTTACCAGGTAAGTCATAAACACGTTGAATATTTAGACTACATTGACTGATAAATATATATCACAAAACGTTCATGAAAATCACTTCATCTCAAACCGTTGAAATCGATTACTACAAAACAACTCATGGGCAAGTATAAACAATTTACATTGAATAAAAGTGAATGTGATTTTTAAAAAGTCTCTCTCAAACATACTTGTAAAAGATGTCCCTGGAAGTAAACAAAAGTATATAATGAGATTAACCGAGATATCTTACTTCCAACTTTAAAAATAGTTATAATCATAGTTCATTTAATTAAAGCACAGTAAATGTCGATAAATGAGTTTTATTAATTCACCTGTGTAACCTAATAGTTTCAAAATGAAAACGAATAAATTAAATAAATGTAATAAAAATTCTCATTTTGACAATTCCTGTGATGACATCACTGTAAATGAACTGAATAAAATTCGAAACCTACTAAGTTAGAATGAATATTGAACGAAATTCATCATCAAACATATAAATTAAATGAAGAAGGAGACCAAGTGCATTTACCTTCCTAAAGAAGGCACCGTTCATAAACTTATAATTGCACAATGACACTATCAAGAAAACAGAAACTCAAAGATTAAGAAATGGGATGCAGTAAACACTGACTACAATCGAACTGAATGGTGTTTTCTACAATCGCACTGTAATTAGAATCATCAATAAAGACGGAGTGGCTGAATCCGCTTAATGCATTCACATTCGTCAAAGTGGCAATTATATAAAACATACAGTTCGGTGATTTCCTTATCGTATTGTGGTGCACCATCCATCTTCGTTCAGAAAAGGATAGATCAGAGCGATTAGGAATTCTATTTCAGGTCACTTAGTGGACATAGAATATCAAGTTGACTTAAATAGTTCTAAAGTATACCGGCCATATCCTTTCAAATCCACCTCGTGGTGTACGAGCTCGTTTTTCCAATATTTCTGAAGCTATGGAAATGGATGTTGACAAACCTATCCTTTCCATTGGCCAGAAAATTTTAGAATCATTTTCGATACATCAGCTATCTGTATAGGAATGAGTTTTAACTGAGCTTTGGTTAAATCCATTCATTAAAAATATCTAAATTTCCATTTGTTTTACCCTTTATATTTCTGCACATCCTTAACACCCGTCTCCTGGTTCTGACATAACTACTATCATATTGACTGCTCATCGAAATATTTTGTTATTTTCGAAATATTACATAACCTGAAAGTCGTTTAATCTAAACCTTCTATTATTAATAAGAAAAGTTGGAAGGTGGTTAGTTCTCGAATCCAGGATGCATTTTTCATCCCATTTGTGACTTTCTAGCTGGATGTACCTGTATCCCAGAGTTGATGGTCACTCCAGGACTGGAATCCAGTACCGTTCACTTCAAATGCCATCGCACCATCCACTCAGCTACTGAGTCCTGATAGCCACTAGCTAGTCAAATGGGGTGAAGTTTAAATTCATTTGTATTGTTTGTTTATACCTTACTGTCAGTTTTTATGACTTCAATTGATCAGTCACTTATAATGCTTGTGAATTAAGGCACTATCGTTGTAATCCGCACGGAATGCGCATATGCCATTATGAGACTGATCAATTGAATTCCGAAACATTAATGGTAAGATATAAACAAACAGTACAAAACTGTTATTATTTACTTTGATTACTATAATTTTTTTAACATCTGATGACAATATTATTTTACTGTCACTGTAACATGACATGATTATAACATTACGCAACTACATGAAATTCATCATTTCATCGTTATAAATCATATATACACGTTCATTCAATGTAGTTTAAGCACAAAAGTATGATTTCAGTTTTTATATTATTTATTGAACTGAGTGGAAAACCGTTTTTAGAGGATGGTACTTTGTGTATTTTTACTTTTTATAATACTATGATTTAGTGGTGATAAGTATCTGTCAATAAATGAATGAATATTCCATTCGACACTCAAATGAACTCACCAACGCAAAGATTGTCTTTTGGAAATCGAAAGTAAACACCAGTGAAGTTTATTGTTATGGGGTTCATTAATTTACATTCAGTTAAGTAATTATGAATTAACCAGTGAAACACATCAGATCAAAAATATTTACTTACTAGCATAATCTGTTATCAAAACAGTAAAATAATTTTTATTGGACATTGTATGACGGAAGTAACCAAAGATTATTTAAAATACTGATTTTGTAGTTCAACATATTACGGTGTAAAACTTTAGATAACTGGATGGAGTGGTTCTTAGAAGTTAATGTATGGTCAGGATATTTCATCCACAATTCAAACTGTTAAGACATGATTCTGTAATTTAACTTTAAGTGTATTCAAATAACTGAGACCAAATAATCGTGAATTTTATCAGCATAAGGGTTAGTGGTGGTCGCATTAATTTCACGGTTGACATCACGAATCATACTAGATCGATTGGAGTTAGACATCAGCACAGTTGGATGCCAGCTCAGTGATCTGGATGTTAAGCGTTCGCGCGCAAAACTGAAGGTTCGGGATCGTGTGTTAGCACTACTTAGGAGTCCTCCTAAATCCTCCTAACCCTGACCTTTGCTAATTTGCTTAATTATTAAAGCATGGTGTTCAAGAAACGTAAATAACAATCGTAGATGAATACCATTGGTTGCGATAAGCGCCGCGCATGTAGGAAATTGGGATTTAATGTCATACGTTGAACACCGAGTTGTAATCATATATGTAAAGGATAGAAAGCCAACACATTCGAGTTATTCGTTTGGGGTGAACAAAAGTACCAACGATTATCTCCCTACTAATTTTAAGTTTTACTGATCGATTGCCTTGTACAATTGTCGATGTTAATAACCAGAATGGATTTTTCGTTAATGAAAGTTAGCTGCAACTGTGCTTCCAAAATGAGCTCTACTAATATAGCGTAAGTAAATTCATCATATTATTCTAGCAATTCTCTGTCTTCCCGATATTGATAGCATTACACGATAGTTATTTGAAAAACACCTTGAGATTGTTTGTTTGAATTACAACCGGTTTCTAATTTTTTTTAAAGTTTGTTTTCTGATAAAATGTTTAATCTTAAAAACATGAATATGGGATTATTTCGAAGCTCTGTGTTCAGCAGATTTATCGACTCTACGTAGTTCAAAATCGATTACTTCTACGAAGTCACACAAGACTGAAAGAAGATTTTACATTAGTGCTAACAATATTAAAACCTATTCATTAGAAAACCTATATCATGAAAACGACTGCATATTGTCCCTGTAAAACAAAACGAATTTATGTTTTTAAACTTTGTTACTTGATATATGAATCAACTCCTTTTTATCTTAAAAATCATAAACTTCACACATAAAAAATAACGTACTGCAACATCTAAACTCTGTGAAGTGTGTAATGTGAAAATAAATCGTCATTTCGAACACTTACATGTTACATTAAAGAATATTATTTTGATATAGTTTATTAACAATAAATGGGATTTAGCTATCAGTAGAGTCCAAAATGCTAATTTCGTCATGCTTACAACTCGTTAGCTCAATGTTCATGCAATCCAGAGTTGATGTTTTTTGCTGGCTTTTGCACCCATCTCCTATCGCTTCAAACGAGAACACGTTACCAACAAAAAAATATGTGATGCGGAGATACGTATCAGATAAGCCTAAAATAGCACCTATCCCGCGTCCTTAATTATGGTGCTTGCCTCATAATATCTAATCTACATAAACGTGTATCATAATGATGATATAGAGGCAGCCAGCGTCGGGAGCGCGCAAACCAAATAAATAGTATGAAATTTCTGTAAAAATATCACCAATGCGATCAATCAAAACTTTATAAATTAAATCAAAATGTAGTTATTTGTTAAGCGTAAACGAAAACGCGATTTAAGACAACAGTGAGATTTAATACGACTACTTACTTTTGTGACTAACTGAAATAATTCGAATAAAAACGTTCATCAAACTTTATTAACTAAGGATTTCATTATTTCGTAAAATATAGATTGAATATGCACAAGGTTTTTGAGCTACATTTGCTATCAAATGTTCGGTCGTATTCAATTTATTTGTTGATTCGCCGTAAATATCTTTCCTTATTGTTACACGTGTTTTTTATAACACAGTCAGTTCCTCCGTTTGTGAACATCAAACACTCATATTACTGGTTACTGCATATGAATGAGTAGAAAAACAGTCCTTCATCTCATATTTGTAAAAAAAATGATAGATTACCTATAATTCACGTTTTGCTGAAACATATCACTTATCAAATGTAATCTCAGATAGGTGAAATCTACTCCAAACATGCGTTAAAACTTACTATTGCAATTGAGATCTGTGGCAAAGAAAAGCAGAATCAACATAATGAATATACGTTTCAGGTGTTTACACATTATAAATCACTTAAAATGTGGCTGAAATAATGAGAAGCTTTCCTCCGAAATCAGTAATGAAATGCATTATTGTGATCATGAGCAAGTGAACTGGAACTGAATGGATCAATAATATTTTTCCGTAATAACAAACTGAAACTTTCTTGTGTAAATAAACTCCACAAATTGTCTGTTTGTCTGATTACCACTATGAGACAAGCTGAATTATTCAGTAGATTACAATGCGAAATAATATGAAGAAAATCAAGAATACACCTTCCTGAACTACAATTATCCTGTGACGAATTTCCATTTTCAACTCACCTAAATTGTGTTCCATATTCGATAGACAACAGATGGATGTTGCACGTGTTGAAATGTATTTACACTGAAGTGGATATACATTTCTTATTGTTGCTAAAACCTGATTGTTCACATTGAAACTAAATAATATTATTTAAAAATAAAAGGTCAAGTAGACTAGAAATGGAGGATAAGAGGAGACAAGGATAATAATAAGATTGATCGTATTTCGGCCTTTGTGGTGTTGCATAAAAGTGTGAAATGGCGTATACCAAGGTTTATTGAAGCATTAGCCATATAAAAATTCAAACTCCCAATGTGTATTCAAAAACGGTTCGTTCTCATATTAAAGTTCCCCCAATAATATTGGCTTATTATCCATAGTGATGAGGTTCTATGTTGTTTTTACACTATTTCTTTATTATCCTTGTCTCCTCTTATCCCCCATTTCCAGTCAAGTTGACCTTTCATTTTTATACATAAATGTTCTGAACAAGTATATGTGTAATCAGATTGTTTGAGATGTATTGCCCAAATATATCACATAGTTCTGATAATCTTCGTTTACTTATTACACTATCGAAATTTATCAATGGGACTAATTGCTCCAACAGATATTTAATTTATTCAGATTGAAAAAATAATGTGATAACATGCATTTACGAATGACACACGAGTATTAACTTACAATACACTGATTCCGATGAAGCCAATATGTATAGATAAATGAGATACAACAACAGAATGTTTAGTAATACTGGTATATACAAAACGTGAATATTGTACTAACAAATGGAATAACTGTTCATGGAAGGTAACTGGAAGAATTTCTAAATTGTCTTTAATTTATTCTAAGCAAATTGAAGCGTTTATGGTTAGATGAGTAGTAAAAGCGAATTACCGTTTTATTCTCACCATGAGGAATGGTAAAGTATGTAAAATTTATACAACCTACATCAGTGTGAAGTTATTAATGTATACACCCTCCAGGACTGTTATGAGTTTTTTAATGATTTCTTTATTTCATTACAGCTAAGATCCTTTCAATGTATGAAAACAGTAGATTGTCAAAATTTCAACTAATTGTTGGTTGGGAGGGAATGATCTGTGGGAGAACAACTGGAGCTATACAATCTCTTTTATAAACGATCAAAAAATCCATTAGTTTATTAAAAACAAGACATCAGTTATACCGCTATTTTTTAAGACTATTATGGAAGTGCATTTGCATTAACTTAATGGATTAGTTTGACAACATTGTGACAATTGGTTCATAGGAAGAGAAAGCAGAATTTATAACTTACAATTTTCAAAATCTAATTTAAGAACGCGTTTTGAAAAATTGGTCAATTCAAATGTTCACGAAGTTTCAACTTCGATAAAAAAGAAACTGACGATATCTAAATTCCTTCAAAAATGAAAAAAATTACTCATTCAATAACTTGTAGGTTTAGTCAAATAATCTTTGAAGATATGCTAGTCCAAGATCCTTTCCAGCTTTATATACGACTCATCAAAACTTTTCTTCATCGAAGTCCATTGAGGGAAACATGAGACATTGTCTGCAATTTGTAGGACTTCATGAAATCCTGAGAAAAAGTTCTTTATGAACATTAAATTTGACGGTAATAATGCTTCAGAAATTTCGAATGAAATCAACAGACTGCATCTTTGAGAAAATGTTTCATGTCTCATAGCTTTTCATCTCATTTTTAGCTATCCTAACACTCTTCGATGTACCAAAGACGAACACCTGTATCAGGCAACATCACCATGTCTTCACATGTGTATTCGCTGTTCTTTAATAGATGACATTACTCAATCAAAGTGAATACTTTCCAAACGCAATTTTGTGTTTGATTGTGCATAGGTTTATAAAAACATTTGTTAAGTAATCTATAATTCAGTATTTAAACATCTCGTTAACTCTCGTCACCCTGCATCAACAGATAAATAATTTAAAATTATACAAACAGTCAAACAATTTTTTCCGAACAACACATTTATTACTTATGGATTCTGGAGAGTTTAGCAATTCATTCTTTGAGTACTGGGCTAATGCCTCACGAACACATAAATCCTTCAAGTTCTTAAAAGCCTGACTGTTCATATATGGTAAATGGATTATTTCTAACTTTCACAAATGATCTAATTGTTCACTTTTCAACTATCTGCTATCAATACTATGTTTTTAATTTATTACTCAATTTTGAATATTCGTCAACCTTTCCCACCTCAAGTTTCATTTTATCATCCTTTTAAGTATTCAGTGATCAACTGTAGGGTTTTAATGCTTGAAATTATGCAATATCCTTTTCGTTTTATTGCTGACTACACAAATTTGTCATTTAATTCTAAATACGACTGAACATAAATCGTGAATTATTTCTTGGAAAAACTATCTCCTCGCTGAAATATCAGTTCTCATTCTATTATGGAATATTTTGGAAAATGAAAAAAACAAAATGGAGCATCTCATATTGATAAAAAATTGGATGGATTCGGGATCTGGTTATGATTTATTAAACATCAATAGAAGCATTTTTAATTACTTCAACAGTACCAACTAGTCACCGTTTCGGTTTGCATAATGAGACAGAATAAAAGTGGAAAGTTTTAAAACATCGTTTGGTTACTTTAAAATTCATCAATTTGAGTTTAGCTGAATATCGTTTGTTTGTTTGCCATAAAAAAATAGTTGATCCTTAAATGTATTCTTGATTTACTTATGTCCGAATGTAACTGAATTTAGTTAATTAAATTCAAGTAGTTACAATAGAAACAGAAAAAGCTTAACTTACCCCATGCATAATCTGATTAGTGAAAAGCATTTAGCTAGAGATATTTTCACGCCACACCTCAAAATTTTGTTGATACAAGTGAAACGTAAACAATTTTAAGGGGATAAATAATAATACCTTTTAGTTATTCAACGCATAATGAATGGAGTCTCTATTCGATTTTAATTTAACCGACAAAACTTATAGCGTTGCAATCTAAATTAGTGGTAATAACTGAATGCTGTTCTGATTCTCATCATGACACAAGCTGAAACATGCAAATGTCCACAATTTAAAATAGCATGACTGAAATGAATATTCCACTGTCTGAGATATCAATGACGCTGTCAAGTACTCTTCATTTTAAATCCGTCCACATACTGTTCCTATTTGGTGAGAATCAAACTGATGTTACACATGGTGCTATGTACTAGGGAAATAATCCGTGTGTTAAAATAGAAGATAAAACTCAACAAATCACCATTTCGGAAAGTCTGCTTTTTAAAGAGAAAAGAATCTACAAACTTGTATGTTTTTCTAGATGTCAGGTATAGTTTTCTGCTTCGGATCTGCAGTTGGGTGAATATAAGTTTCTATTTGTTTAAATTATATCCACCTGTCATAAAGTCAATAGAAATCATGCACCTCATAGTTTTAACTTTTCAGATGTTTTTAAACGAAATTCATATGCACAACTTACTCTTTGTTGGCCCTGAATAAAAGAAATGTATTTGGTTTAATTTTGCACTATAGGGTTTTGTTATATCATGACAGGAACAAACCAGTGGATTATTTCATTCTTATCATGAAAAAATCTGAATTATCCAGTTGATTGCAATGTGCAACAATGTGAAGAAAATCAAGAATACACCTTACTAAACTACAATTAACTCGTTCAGAATATCCATTTCCAACTCACCTAAATTGTGTTTCTTATTCGATAGACAAAAGGTGGATGTTGGGCTTGTTGAAAAATATATACACCGCACTGAACAAACATTGTGGTTTACTTATTAAACCAATGCTAAGAACTAATTGTTGAAATTCGAACTGATTAATATTTTGAAAGCAACAAAATAGTCCGTTGATGGTAAACGACTCTATTCGATTACATGAGGAAGGTCGGCAAACAACTGTTAGTTTATCAAATATTGTGCAATCAATATAACACTCCTGTTCGCTATCTGTAAAAAGTCATTAAATTAAAATAACTGAACATTCTCAATATATTGCAGTCATAAATGTTCTAAATTAAAACACAGAGAATAACTTACGAGTCTTCTGACCTGTTAACATATAAATTGTTTGGTACGTTCATTGATAAAAACGTTGTGTTCATTTTCACATTTCGCGTAGATGAAGAACAATATATAGATGACAGTTTAACATTTGGTTCAATATTCAACACCTCAAAATTATTTACCATAAACTAAAAATGTTTATTAGTTGTTTTTAATTCATCCTAAAGAAATCGAATTGCTTCAGTTTGAATCGATGGTACAAGCTCGTTACTGTCCCAGTTATTGAAATTAGACATGATGAAATAAGCTTTTTTTTACAACATTTAAGAAGAAATAAGCCTCAGTGGACTACAATGATTCTGTTGGACATTAGTCATTACCATTCAGCTAATGCTGTTCATTTTTCAATAAATTGAAGCAAGGCATTGAAAATGGTGCAAATTAAGAGAAATATGTTTAGAAGAAAAATGTACAGGATATGACTTACTTCCCCCATTGGCTGTCATTTTTAAAAATAATCATTTGGTACGTCATTATTTACTTCCATAAATTTTGACTTTCAACAAGGAAAACTAGAAAGAAATATCCCAATAAACAATGAAACAACCCGATCAACACTTAAAACCCCATAGTAGCATACGGAACCTTAATGAATTATAAGTTCATATCTGACTCATTGTAGCGTTACCACTAAAGCCAGTAGCACTAATTCGTCACTGTTTCAGTTCGCACAGTCTCGCAACATCATGAAAAGAATGAAAGAATTCACACTCTATGTGTACGATAATGCCACAAGCATATCGATATTTTTAATTCACCTGAATTCCTTTATTATTTTATAAACAACCTCCTTTGTGTTCAGTTGATTGATCTTTTACAAACACGTTTTATATTAATATGTAAAATCAAGTGAAATATCATGTATCGTTGCATTTCTACAAATGAATCACGAATTATTGACTTACTGGAACCGGCATCTAATAAAACCAAAACGTTGGATTTTATTGATTAGTTACGAGTTTTTGAATGTAACTTGTATTAAGGAAACATGATTATATCAATCACTGTTTCTAGGTACTTTGTTGAATCAGTGGAATTGTAAATCATATACGATTGTTTAGAATGGTTTTTTTTTAAAACCAAAACTAAGACTTGGTTTTTAACATAAGTAATGGATTTGTAATATTATCAACTCAAATTTATTGGCTGCATGAAACATTTCAAAACCTTTTACAGTTCACTAATTTCAAATAGAAAAGTATATCTGACTATGATTTGAACACCACTAAGCTAGAAAAACTAATCAAACTTCTATAATACGATAACAATATCAACAGATGTACTGTCAGAACTATAAGGATCCAATTCTTCTGGATTGTGATTATTCACAACTTTTATAAAATAAACTTTCAACCATTTCAAATGTTTGTATTGAAAATAAATATACAGTTTA